GAACAAAGGAACACGAAGCAGTCGAAAACCTGTGAAATAATTCCATTTATATTTGCTCCAACTGGTATTGCAACAGTACTTACGTGTGGAGCAGCAGAAGAAACCTACGATGCAGTGGTCCCACAGACAGAGAAGCGGAAGACACACTGTGACGATGCGAGAGTTACACGGCCACGAAAAGTTGGTCCACAGTCCGCAGCTGGCACCAAGATGTACACAGGCAGCGAACCAAAGCAAGTGAAAACCTAAAAAAAAAAAAAATCGTTAATAGCTGCTTAATAAAATTTTGCAAAAGTACTTACGAGTGCAGCGATGGTTTTGCAGTAATTCAAACAATGCTGGCAAGAGGCAGCCGATCAAGTTGATGGAATGCACGGGCACACAAAACAGCAAAACACCTTTGGAATAGTTTTATTTATAGTTCCTTTATCGGATATACATAAAATACTTACGATTTGGCCAATTCTTTTCCAAAAAAAAAATTTAAATGCGGAATTTTTTATTTTATCTAATAAAAATTAATTTTAACTCCGATTGTCAACGAAACAGAGATAAAAACAAAGACGAAAAAGGCGATCAGTGATGCCAATGCTTGTCGATCTATGCTTTTGCTTGTGTGAGTACCATTTTTAGTACTTTTTCATGAAAATCGCTCTGATATAAAAAGTACTCTTTCTCTCGCTGTTCGCAGTGTTCATCCAACTTGACGTTTCTCTTTGTGGAACATTCTACGTCATTCTTCGAACATTCTGCCTATTTCTCGTTGTTCGCTTTGTGTTGCCGCAGTATTCGCCACACTGCCCTCCACCTAAGTCTGATCGTCCCTATCAGACACACTTGCTGTGCCAACGATACAAGCCTTTCCAAGTGGACCACCTTCATCTTGTTTCTTGGTCGCCCAATGGTCTGGATTCGATACACTACGTCATTCAGCCGTTTGACGACCTTATACGGACCTTCCCAGTTGCATTGTAGTTTTGGGGACAAACCTTTCTTTCGTTGTGGATTGTACAGCAACACTAAGTCTCCCTCTTGGAAACC